ACCCAAGACACGACATCCCAGATTTTATTATGTGACAGTGTTGTGCAACTCCTGAAGTGTTACAAAGTGAACATAGTTTTGTTATTGTTGAACTGAAGCGTTTAAAGGAGTTCTTTTATACAGAAATGTTCCTGGGAAAACACCAACTAGGCTGCTTTTGTGCTTACATTTGACTTATGCTGTGTTACTGGATATAATGCTGTGTCAATACTACTGCACTACAGCGCTGCTGCTGGCACCTCGATTCACACCTCAAATTAGGAAGTGTGTCATCAGTGACAGTAGCTCATCGGAAAAGAAGGAAAATGCTTTTCGTACGCTTACACATGCTACTGCCCGCGAGCATCCATAAAACATCATTAAATTTTTTTTATATACCATCAGAAATATCATTATCATAAACTCTTTTGAAATACCATGACATGGTTTTGAGGCTCACCCCTATAACTCAGGTGATTTTTTAATGTAATATTTATTTTATGTAAAGTTAAAAATTTTACAATGTTATATTAGGGAAATTTAAGGAAAATAATTCAAGGGGCTAAAAATGGAGAAAAAAAAAAAAAAAAAAAAAAGAGTAAAGCCCTCAGATGGAAATTTAGGAGAAAAACTGGCAATTTTACAAGACAACATTTTTTTCCTCTCATATATTCGTCATGTTTTCTCAACTCTGTAAATTTCCTTGTAAATTTGCAAGTTGGCTTGTAAATGTCAGGTTTTTTTGTGTAATTTTCCATTTTCATAAATGTGTTTTTCTTGTTAATCTGCCAGATTTCATATAAATGTTTCCATTTCTTTTGTATACTTTTGCCAGTTTTGTTTTTAACTAGTACATAGCAAATTCAAACAAAAACATACTAAACATACTAAAATAAGCACCAAAAAACCAAAATGTCAACAGTAAAGCTGCACAAATACAGTATATCAATCTTTAAAGCCTCTGTGTGTGCCACACAGAAAAAGAAGACACTGTAGCTCAGCAGATGAGTGAGCAGGAGAGACTGTACAGCTAAGACAAAGCAGCCCTCTGTATCCAGCACAATCAGCTGTTCACTCATTGTCCAAACACCATCACAGCACAGCTCAACAGCAACAGCTACAACCATCAGGCTTCTGCTGTCAAAGCTTAACAGTCAAAAATTTGTGGTTAAAATTGCAGAAATTATTCTAGAGCAAATATTTTGAATAACATTAATGTCATCATTAAGCTTTCTTTTTTGGATGTTAGTACCTGCATGCTTGCCAGAGTGTGGTTAAACACACACTCTGGGTTGAGTGCCTGCAGATTATCATCTTCTACATCAAAATACTGCAGGATAGAGCAGGGCGATATGACCAAAAATATTTATCACGATATACATTTGAAAATTTGCGATAACAATATAACTGATGATATAATTGACACTAGACAAAACACTTTACAACTCCACAACTTTATTAGTGCAAAAAAACCCCAAAACATCAATGTATTTCCACTTAACAAGCAGCTGTTTTTTTATGTGCATTAAAGTTATATAAACATTTAACAGTGAAAATGCAAATTCCTCGCTGACAGTTTAACCAAAAGGCATTTCCAGCGGAAACTGGCCGACATATCCTCAGCATAACCATGTATAATATCCACAAAACTTAAAGAGAGGTTATACACACACAATATGGTAACATTATGTTGAAGCACAGTACGTATCACTCCGCGAGGCTCCTGCCTACGATAGCCGTAATGCTCCGACAATTCATTGAGCGGTGCGGCTTCGTAGCTTTGCAAAGTCGTACTGAAACATTTGACAGATTTGTACCACATAAAATCGTTTTGAGGTCAGTAAACACAACCAGAATTCATACATAAGGCACACGGGATTATAAGGGGCTCTGTCGATTTTCAGAAAAATCAAAGGATTGATTTTAAGTGTGCCGTATTTTCCAAAAAAACACGGTAATAACGACAGCCCGCTAGCATGCGCTACCAAAAATAGTGCTTTGTTGTGTATCTGACGGACCACACCACTGAAGCTGCAGTATTTTTACAAACCAGTTCTGGTTCATCCGTTTCATTCAACGATCCGCTTTCTCCCTTCTCATTCTCCATCGCCGCCATGCTTTTGCCGCCATGTGCGTATGAAAACAAAGGCACTGCGCATGCGTGTTTTACCCATATTCTATCACGATATTTAATTTTCTTATCGTTGCCCAACATTATAGCGGTATTACTGTGAACGGTATGATATGGCCCAGCCCTACTACAGCACCCTCCATCTTCCACCTCACATTTACATCTTCCTGTTATAGAAAGATCCAATCCACTCACCGATCTGTACAGGAAGCCCAGTTTGTTTAATGCGTGTATGAAAGCGCATGTAGAGCACTCATTGGTGCATCTGTCAAAGACAGAAATTCAACAATTCCTGATGAATGTTTGGATGGGCAACGGTAAATGTGTGTTGAACTTTGATAAAACACGAATATAAGATGGAAAAAAAGTAGATTTATTTTAAAAAGGTTAAGAGCTGTGCTGGTCCACAGCTCCAGCAGTGTTAGTGTCATATTAAAAAACACGGACCATCGTATCTGTTACACATTTTGCTGAGAGAATGATCACCACGTCCACTGAACACCTTCAGTGAGAAAAAGATATCACAATGTTTTAATTGTTTTTACTGCTATGCTGTGGGAATATTCATCAGCTGTAATAAAACCCATCTGATTAAAGTGTACTGAAAATTACAGTAATAACACTGCAGCAAGCACCACATTACCTCATAAAACACAATGCACAGGGGGAACTTCTAATTCCAACTGTATAACTGGAAAACTGCTTAAAATTTCAGTATTAAAGCTTGGTATGCTGCTTAAAAGAAAAATCTGCGATAAAACAGCACAAACCCGTACAGAAATATGAAGCTGAAAGGTCAGAGTGGGATGAGCATTGATGGAGGCCAATTTTACTCCCCAGACACTCCGAGTATGAGATGGCTTCAGGCAGGATCCTCACATCAACCTGCAGACGCCTGAGAGAGAAACAGAGGCTAATACTTCTCTCTTCAGTAGTGTTAAGAGGACGCGACCCTTTGCTTCTTATATTTTCACAAAGCAATAAGAGATGATAGAACAAATCTTTATATAATACACAAACAACCACAGAGTGCACACACCTGAGGCCTGACCACGGAGTACGATAAGGTGCTTATTGAAGCAAGTACAGGTTTAACCCTGGCTTTTCAGGTTTAAGATCCTAGTTAAACACGGCAACTTATGCTGCAGACCTAACCCACTCTGCCACAGATAACGCTCTGGGTAAGAGACCAGAAGGTACGAAACCGCCTCCTACAGACCGATCAATCCGCTGGAAAATAGCACCAATATTCCCAGAAGAAGCTGGATGCGGGTCTGAAGTCTTTCAACATCAGTTTTTCAATATCATCTAAAGTCTTCAATGAGAAAAGCATCAACAAGAAACTGATTATTAGAAACCACTTTATTTAACATTTATATGCCCGCTCTCAGACCATTAACACCACTGGTGCAGCAGCTGAAACAATAAAGCTGCCCTACACGCATCTAAACATCATTTTAATGTAATCTCTCAGTTTTGTTTATGTGTTAATGACAGAGCCGTAACGCTGATGAGTATCAATTTACACAATCAGCAGTTCTGCTGCATTTCCTTACCGGCTTCAAATTGGCTAGACTTTATTAATATGGTAAGTCCTTTCCAGTCATACTGGCCAAAGCCCTGAAAGCACACACATTCATGCAGCTCTGATAATAAACATTTCCTCTCTCACACTGTTGCTTATTCTGCAGCAGCTGTGTTGCTTTCATCTGTATTGTGAGTTTAACCTCTTCATATGTGTCTAATATTCCAGTTTACCTTTATGAATCAGCCGCATCGCTTCCTGTGTACTCACTGATTGATAAACCCTGAGTTGATACCTACCTTCGTGTGACTGTTTAGCCTGACTGCTGATGTCAGAGTGAGATATCTGAAACACATCCTGGGTATGCTGAAGGTGCTTTGTAGTGCAGGCTGCTGGTACAGGACGAAACAAATCTTCAATAATCCTGTGACATTTCAAAATGTCCTCATGACACATCTGCAGTCACAGTTAAAAGATTTGCAGTCATAAGTGAAAATCTTTAACCAGAGAGTGTTCTAATAGCAGATCATCGATGCATAAATCATGTCCTAAAAAAAAGATTTTTACAACTTATTTTGACCAGTCAGCTTCTTTTCTACCTGTTAGGCTTTAATTTCAACTTTAAATATTAGTCCTCAAAGAAAAAATGGAACCTGCCACTGCACTGAGTTGTATTGAACTATGGGATAGCAATGAGAGAGCCTGACAGCCATCAATCACGACATGTGCCACTAAATCAACCATCAAACTGAAGAAAAGCAGCTGAAGATCACCACTGACGGTAACCACTAATATGTGACAGCACTGTTCAGACTCGCCTGCAGTCTCTGCTGGACATGTGTGAATAAATTGACTAAAACACACTAAAGAAATGCATTTTTGTGACTGTAACTCGTGAAATACAAAGTGTGCTGCATAATCTGTACAACTTAAAGTCAAATGAAGGTCTACTCTTGCCCACATTGTTCCCAGTTTTACTCTAATTAATAAAACTAGAACTTACCCAACAAGAAACACCCAGTCCATGGTGGGAAATTAAAACCCATTAAAACATAGCTTAGATGTACACAGTCATAGATACCTTAAATTATAAATATTATGACTGGTCTTCTTCGCTCTTTCAATGTAAGGATTATGCAGACAGAAGAACCACGCAGCCTATTTAGTGCGGTGCTCAATCACCGCGACATCGTTCAGCTGGCCAGAACATAAAGTCGCTGTTACACGGACGCGGCTCGTGACATAAAAACCGTTATTCACTGTGTGTGACCAGTACTGACATGACATGACAGACATGACAGAACGCAGTAAAATCCCAATGACGGTGTAAAAAAACCAAACCCAAATAAATTAAGGTTTTCCTACCTGAAGGACGTCAGTTTTCCCGCCGCTGTCCGTTTTCTCCGTCTCGTTTTGAGCCTTTAGTTTTTAAAATGGGTTCTGAGGCACCAGCCGAATGCTGCAGTGGTCTCGTGCAGCAGCGCAGCCTCACACACATGCACGCAGTCGGCTCCGCGTGTGCCGCTGATGATGATGATGCCGCGCGAGCTCCGGACAGGGAAACAACAGAAGTGCGGGCACTGGGCGTCCGCGAGGGGCTCCGTTCAACCTGTTGCTTACGTCACGACAGCGCTCTCCATGGATACGTTCACATTGTTCCAGTAAACGCCACACAGGTGCTGAGCTTTTTGCTCACTTTGGAGCTAATCGCCTGAGTGAAAATCAATCGCAACCATTTAAATACCTGATAAATGCATTTTTAAGGCTCGTTCAAGTATAAATATCGGCCTGTTTGGACATAGAGCTTTTGTCTTTATACAGCCGCTTTATTGTATTATATCAGGGTTTTACTTAATTGTTTATTCTAATTTATTTAGATGTTCACTTATTGGGCTGCTTTATTTACCTGTTTATTAAATTCAATTGAGCACGTGAGTTTTGTGTAATATTTACATTGTTGAGCTTTTATTTTGTGATATTGCATTTCATTTAACTACTCTGCAATAAAATATGATCTTATGGGTTGATGTTACTGTTTTGGTTGCTGTAAGATGGATTTCCCAACTTTTTCCTCAGAATTCTGGGATTAAAGACAAAACTCTGAAAAAAAGATGTCCCCACTTTTTTTTCTTTTTCCATTGGCCCTAATCTTCTTCCGTAACAATCGTCATTCCAATCTAATAAGAAAAAAAGGACCTTAAAAAGTTTGCTGATTTTGCCCCAAACTGTGATTTTAAATGCTTCTTAAAACCCAGTGGAAGTTACAGTTCTCCACTACATTTAAATTCAGGATTCCCTGAGTACCATGCTCCTCTGCTAAAAAGTCTGGTAGTATATTCTAAAATAAGTGGACAAAATGTTCTTGTCTCTATTACTGTTAAGTCAGAGGCTGCATTAGAGTGTCAAAAGGTTGAAAATGAACTCAAATACTACAAAATGAATATACATTCCGTATGAAAACATCTTTAGACTAACACTGTGATGGATATGTTTCTTAAACCGATGTACATGTAGGTCCATAAATATTTGGACAGAGACAACTCTTTCTTTCTTATTATGGTTCTGTACATTACTACAATAAATTTTAAATGAAACAAATCAGATGCATTTGAAGTGCAGACTTTCAGTTTTAATTCAGTTGGTTTAACAAAAAGATTGCATAAAAATGTGATGAACTAAAAAAATTTAACACTATTCCTTCATTTCAGGGGCTCAAAGTAATTGGACAAATTACATAACTGAAAATAAGATGTTCATTTCTAATACTTGGTTGAAAACCCTTTGCTGGCAATGACAGCCTGAAGTCTTGAACTCATGAACATCACCACATGCTGGGTTTCCTCCTTTTTGATGCTCTGCAGGCCTTTACTGCAGCGGCTTTCAGTTGCTGTTTGTTTGTGGGCCTTTCTGTTTGAAGTTGGGTTAAGATCAGGGACTGATTTGACCATTCAAGTATATCTCACTTCTTTGCTTTAATAAACTCTTTGGCTGTATGGTTTGGGTCATTGTCCATCTGTATTATGAAACTCCGCCCAATCAATTTGACTGGATTTAGCCAGATTTGAGCAGACAGTAAGTCTCTGAGTTCATCCGGCTGTTTCTGTCCTGTGTCACATCATCAATAAATACTAGTGTCCCAGTGCCACTGGCAGCCATGCACGCCCAAACCATCACACTGCCTGTTGTATGCTTTGCATCATAAGCTGTTCCACACCTTCTCCATGCACTTTTCTTGCCATCATTCTAGTAGAGGTTGATCTTGGTTTCATCTGTCCAAAATATGTTTTTCCAGAACTGTGCTGGCTTTTTTTAGATGTTTTTTAGCCTTTCTATTCTTGAGGCTTATCAGTGGTTTGCACCTTGCAGTGAAATCTCTGTATTTACTTTCATGCAGTCTCTTTCTTCACCTCCTGAAGAGTGCTGTTCACTTGGTTGACTGTTGTGAAAGGGATTCTCATCACCATGAAAATGATTCTGCGTCCTGGAGCACTTCCGTTGTGTTTTGGAGTTTGCGCGTGCTTCGGAGCTTGTACGTGCTTTGGAATTTGTACGTCGTGCTTTGCAGTTTGTATGCGCTTCAGAGTTTGTAAGTGTTTTTGAGTTTGTAAGTGTTTTTGAGTTTTGTACGCGTTTTGCAGTTGGTATGTGCTTTGTCTCTAGAGGCCACCATAAATTCGAATGTGGATACCCTCAAAAGAAAGCTGAGAGTCTACACATTATGTCCATGTCCAATATATAACTATAATTGGAATTTGTTTACGTAAACATAAACGTAAAAGAACAAAACTTTTGTCAGTGTCCAAATACATATGGGCCTAACTGTAAGCTCATGCTGATTTGCACGTCTGTTGCTTGTAGAAATATTTCCTCACACTGCAGTGCATCACAATTTGAAGGAATGAAGTAGGTCAAACGCTGAAGCTACTATGTAAAAGTATAAAAATGTCTATTTGCTGTTTTTTTGTGCCTGCCTCAACCACTTCAGTTCTCTTGTGTAATGGTAAACACCTTAGACACAGTTTAATGACAGTTGTGTGTAGCAACAAGACTTGAATGTCTGTGGTGATTTTGTGTCTCTGTTTTACATTAGAGGAGATGCTGTGGTGGTAAAGAAGACGTTTGGCAGAAGACATTGCCAAACACGAGGAAATGTCAGACTACAGTTGTTATTACATAACCACAGCCTGGCCTGATCCGAAACATTCAAACAGAGCACAGATTTTCCAGTTGAGAGCTAGTTTATTCCATTAAAGAAGAAACCTGAGTATTGAGTCTTTTCATCCTTAATGATCTTTAGAAGCCTGCACATAAAACAGAATATCTTTGGGAAAAGGGAAGTTGGACCCCTTGAGACAATTTTCAGTTTAATGCAGGATATTGTTTGAAACATATTTTGGGTTTTTTTTAATAACACAGACTGCCAGGTCTGAACAGTGAAGTTGGTGCAGAATATCTTAAAACTGCATTGTTTGTGAAGGTTCTCAGTCATCCAGGTCATTGTAGTCTAAGGAGCTTGGAAAGAAAAGCGTCTGGAAATCTTTAAGTTTCTTGAAGATGTTTCACCTCTCATCCGTGAAGCTTCTTCAGTTCTAAGGTCAATTGGTGGAGAGTCCCAGATTTTTCAGTCCTATTAGAGTGTCCACAGGAGGGTCATGGACTATGGCGTTATTTTTGTGCCACTATTCTGAGCGCATGTAAAAAAAAAAAAAAAAAATTCAAAAAAAGTTTTGAGCGAAGAAAAGCTAAATTTGAGTGAACAAAATTAATTGCTGCATGCAAAAACTGTATTTCAGTGTTTGCTATTATCCACACACACACACACAATAGCAGCCGTATTGAGGGGAAAGGGAACCTTCCATACTTCAGCTAGAATGAAAAAAAAGACACAAAGCTGGAGTTATTCTGTGTTTTTGCTGCACAACTGGCTGTTCTTCACACTGACTTCTGGCTGATTCTGCCTGAAACTAATACTGACCATAATTTACAAAACTGACATACAGTGGAACCCTGACGTACGAAATTAATTCGTTCCTGAGGGTCTTTCGTAAGTCGAAAATTTTCAGAAGTCGAAGCACCCATCGCGCCTTTTGAGTGAACGACAGGCTAATTGCTAACTGCAACAACAATACGTCGTTCAAGTGGAACAGCGAAGCGCAAGTACGAAAGCCAAGGGGGTTGTCATATGATTCGGAAGGCATTGTGGGCATTGTAGGCCTTCTGGGCTCAGCCAGTATCTGATTGGCTGAGCCCAGAAGGCCTACAATATACCGGGCATTTTGCCGTAATACGGGCAGAAATATTGCCATTAAGTGCCTTCGTAACTTGAATTTTTCGTTGAATGGGGTATTCATAAGTCGGGGTTCCACTGTATTTTAAAATGACTAGCCCTTCAAATCATAATGTGTTTACTGAGGTAACAAAACAAGTGATTCAATGGCTATCTTCCCACAGACCTATATAACTGGAATGCTTTTTGGCAGTCAGAGAAGTTGTGCCATGGTGGTCATTAAAATAATGCAGGTTTAAGAGATGCTTGAGACCCAGAAGCTAAGTCCATTTTTTATATCAAATAGGCACTGTAGAGTCTGTGGGCCACGTCCGGCCTTTTGGTTGTCCCTGGCGTAAACGTAAGGAAGTATACATCATTTCAGCCACCAAACAGTCTTTGATAAACTTCCCATCACACAATGTTTTGTGCACTTTTGTGGGGAATCGCTTGATGTGTAAAGCCCGGTAAAAGGTCCTTGCTGCTTTTGCAGATTTGCTAGCAAACATTCACATGTTTGTTTCAGATGTCAATCATCACAAACCTTTATTTTGAAAGCGATTGCCAGTTTTAAAAATTTCTTTATTTACTTGTGTGGAAGCTAAATAAACATCACTGTAAATATGTTGGAAAAGACAGTTATAAGGGATAGGGGTTTACTAGCCCCAAAAGATATCAGCTCTCGTTTAAAAAAGAAAGCTTGATGCAGAATGTAGAATTGTGAACACAGCCTAATCTGTGGAGAGCAGATTGGATAGAATCACCTTGCAGGACTAAACACACAGGGGAATACAAGAACTTGACTGATGCAGACTGGAAACAGACACCTGAACCTTTGCTAGCAAAGCTGCGAAAGCAACAAGAACTTTTTTTTTTTACCAAGTTTTACACATTCAGGGATCGAGGAGTGATGACAGCTTTGTGATGTCCCACAAAATCTCGAAAAAACAAAAACTGTGGGCCAGTCTTTGATGAAGAGTATATCAAAGAGTGTTTGGTGAACTCTGCATCACAAATATGCCCCGAGAGTCAAGCATCAAGGATGTCTGGAAAAGGAAATCTGGAACTTAAGTTGAAAAATGAAGTCAACATTTTTGGCTTTTTCTCACTGACAGTCACTGACAGTTTGTTGCATTTTTGCAGGAGCAGGAGACTGAACATGGTGACATAGGCTACCACACAGCCATCAGATACTTCAGCCTGGGCAAAGTGCTAAAAAGTCTTTGGGACCTGAGAGCAGAGATTTGAGAGTTTTGTCAGAAGAAAGGCAAAAACATTCCAAACCTCACAGATGCAGAACAAAAAGCTGATCTTGAATTTGCTGTCGATGTGACAGTTCTTCACATCAACAGCAACATTCAGTTCTTCTACCTC